GTTCCCCGGTAGCCGCAGCGATCAAAAGACCTGTCGTTATGATGATATATCCGCCACAAGTCGCTGTTGCGAGGGCAGCGCCTGAAATACACGGAAATCGGGATATGAGTGTGTCACGAGTCGCGATCCTCGGCATGCGAGAGCCCCAGGATCCGGATGTTTGAATCATTCAAGTTAGGCACCTATGCTGCCCCACGTCACATTGTTCAACAGCGACCACTCCCTGCTGCGATTCCTCAAGTAATGAAACACCCTTCGGCTCTCATCGTCCGTCACTCTAAGCGCCACGACGCAGGCGACGCACAGAAGCTGCAATTCAACGTGTACGATTTTTTCTTAACCTTACAACACCATATATAAGTGATGTAAAACAATTATACATAATTATATAATAACCGCCCTCGGCAGTTTCAAATTAATATCGTTTCGATGAAATATTTAATGTTGAGGCTGCGACACACACACACGGCTTTTCTAATCTTATAATATCTCAGATATTATGTCGGAGAATTACGTATAATAACTATTAAAAGTTATGAATAACAATATTTTTATTCAATAACACATTGATACAGTTTATTTATTATATATGTATTTTAGCTATTATTTTTTTATTATAATGCTTCAACTTGAAAAATAAAGGCAAAAATCTCAATGATTTACGCAAAGTCTCATTATAATACAGAGATATATTAGTGGTTCTGTAAATAAAGAAATAAATTTTATTCATGGATCAAACAATTAATGTCTGCATCATGAAACTTTTACATAAATAATCTTATTTATTATTATTGATTATTGTACAAAAAAAAAGAGATTTTTATAGTTATTTTTCGTATAAGTATTATAACAAAATAAAATATGTAATAGTATAATATACAGTAATTAAAACGTCAAGGGCTTTGAAAATCGATATCATTTCGATAAAATATTTATTTATAAAGTTTGAGCTGGCATAAATACAGAAGATATATCTCACGCGATTCGTTGCTCTAAACCTCTAAACTCGTTAGACTATACAAGATCCATAGCAATTCGGGCTCTTCGATTTTGTAAAAAAAAAAAAAAACTGCTTAGCCAATTATATAGCACGAATAGTAACAATAATTCAAATTCACATGCACTATTCACAAATACCATATAAATAAATTGCAAACTTCAAACTGTCTCGAATTCTGATAAAAATTTTTCTTAAGACTATTCATACGTATAACTTTTTGGAATTTTTATGAAAATTTAGGATTTTCCAGAATTTCTGAATAATTTTATTACTTTTGAAAAAATTTCTCAAATTTTTTTCCGAATTAAAATACCTCAGAAATATACGTAGAGAAAATGTCTTACCATCTTATTATAAAATTACACATGTATGAATTTTGCAATATTCAGAGATTTCATATTCCATAATTTCTGATAAAATCTTATAAAATTTGAAAAGTTTGAAGTACTTTTTCAGAAATCATAGATAATAAGAAAGTTTATAAATCTTAGAATATTTCAGAATTTACGTTGAAAAATTTTAATAAAAAATATAAACATTATTAAATGTGTTCATGTAAAAATTTTTATCAAGAACGTCACGTATAGTCTGACATACTATTATCGTGATAATACTATTATCACAAATTATTAAATAAATCATTACACAAATGTTTTAGCATATTGTTATAATAATTGCATAAATCTTAATTAAATTTATCTGAAAAAATTATCTTTTAATTTTTTTTCTAAAGCAGAATTAGAAATAAATAGAGAATTAAATAAATTAATTTAGTGATAGTATACACTAGAAGGTTCTACAAGAGTCTTGGAATCTGGATGCAATGAAATTCTATTTATTGACGAACGCCAAATTAATAAATGCCAAATGCAAATATCAATCGCGAAATTAAGCTTTTCGTGCTAACGACAAATTAAAGATATATCTACGTACCACTTCAATTATTCTGATGAACACCTTTCGGTTCCACATGATTGGCATGATGCGATCGCTAAAGGCGCACTATCAGGCAAACAAGTAAAGGTACGGAGAACAAGCGGCCGTTTGGGAAAGTGTCGTCTCTTTTCGGCGAAGCATTACGTGATTTCTCAGGCTATTAACAAACCGTTCTCATTTTCTTTTGAAACGCTACTAGTCGCGTTAACAATTGGTTTTTGTCGAGAGGATATATCACATTGACTATAGGGACTAAAAATTTATTCATATCCTGAGGCGACATTCTCGACGAATATGTAAATATACGAAAATATACGAAAATACTGTAGTGTATTACATATATTATAGATTTCTCTAATAATTAATGTTTTCGAGAATAAGGTTCCTGGTCGAAATAAAACAAAAATTGTTGTGGCAAGCGTTTCTTACGGCAAAGCATATAACTTATTTAAAGATTTTATTATGAGAATTTACAATTTAAAAAATGAAATAAACGATACTTTTTAAATAAATCTACACTGTATTATTTTTGAATCTATGAACATTGCAAAAAGTGACAAAATTTTTAACGGAAAAATTAATAAATAAAAAATAAATTATGAATAAATAAATAACAAAAGCAAAAATGCATAAATAAAAATAAATAATAAATTAATTATTTGTACACATATATTCTATATATTGTATATATATATGAAATAAGCTTCTAATTATAAATATTAATTTCAAATTTATATGGCTACTTTTTAAAATTTATGAGAAGGAAAACATTTTGCACGAAAAATAAAATTTAAATGAAATAGAAACTGAAAAGTCGTATTTTTTGCAAAAAAAAAATAATTTTCTTGTAATGTCTGCAGATATAATGACGAATGTACTTAACAAATATCAAAGAATTTCTTTTCACTTTTTCGAGATTATCTATAACTGTCAACTATTAAATATGTTATTTTTTTAAGTAGTTAGTTTACGTTATGCTCTGAGCATTCTATCGTTATCGCACTATACGTCCTAGTTCAATAGAAACCAGTATATTTATCACCTGTAATAGTCGCACGGCGTAACACGGAAAACCAAGGCTTCGCGTCGCGACGCGCTCGAGCAACGACTGAGAAGATACATATAGCGAAGGCGCACTGGACGCCCAGGTTGGCGGCACCGTGTGTCATGTAATAAGGATTGCCTGCATGCGAACGACACAAGTAACAATGCTATTATCACACGGTGCAATGGCGCAGGACGATGCGAATCTCCGGATATGTGTCACGGAAAGGCTCGTCGCGCACACCTCGTAAGTCGTACCTTGAACCCGTTCGCAACACGCTAAATCTCGTTACTGCTTCGACACTTCTCGACACTTTACAAGTTTACACCTCGCGAGAAAAGACGAAGCGCGATTTTAATCTCTCAATGATTCTCAACAATTTCCGTGGAATAAATAAGCAATGTACACGCTCCAACTTGTTGTCAGAAATTTTATTTAAATATAGGGCACAGAAGAGATAAGAGATTTCTAACGAACGAATATATATAAATTTAAAAAATATATGCATACTTTTTCCAAAATTAAAAGTTTATACATTAGAAATTTTCCTGAATTAAAAAATAAACGATAAAAAGTAATGACAATTATAAAATGTGACATATAAAAAATTATATAAATTTTTAAATTAAATACATAAAGTAAATGTGTGGATAATAAATTTTTATATAAATTAAAACATATATATATATATATATATATATATACTACATACATTATGTAATTATATATTATGTAATTATAAATATTATTAACAGATTAACAAAAAATTGTTCTTTAAATGTACATGTGTGTTTTTAGGGTGTAAACCGATAGCATATAAAAAAATTGCATCAAATTATTAAATATTTAGAATTATAAATAAAGAAATAAGATATTTTTATCTTTAATACTCTGTTAGTATAATTTTCAATTAAGGAGATTGTCAGGGCATAAAACACATGTATTAATATTTATGTTTCAAACAAACGACATACATATGAAAGTTGTGTTTATAACATTCAGCTTTTATTGAGCAACACATTTTGATATATTATTTATTTTATTTGTTACTATTTTTATAGTGATTCTTCGAGAGTAGATTTTAACTCTTGAAGTCCTTTTTAAAGCAGGGAAAATTTTACATGCCAAATTACTGCTTGAACTTTAATATTAAATTGGACATGAATTTTTACACTCGCCCAATTTATATTCTCGAATAAAGTATTTTTTGTATGAGTAACCGTAGAAAATCATAATTATAAGTTTCCCGAACTTACATCCGAGAATCTGCCTAATCCGTATTGTTGAAAAGCATATAAGTAATTTATACGTGAGCATACGTGAGTATAATCCGTAACACGTGCGTCGTCGATATACTCACACGCGCGTAGTACACAATAGACCGATTGTTTGATGTTGTCTCGCCGCGTCGCGCCGGCCACCCAATTCCGCCGACACGGCGACACGATTGACAGACGTTGACAGATGAAAGTCGCCGAGCCAGTGGCCGTCGCTT